GTTTAACTATATAATTAGTGTGGCAAATTGTGGGACAAAATTATCTTCAAATTTTTGTTTCTTTTCTAACTAAACTTATCAATAAATTTAGAAAATTTCATCATTTTATGTTTTCATAAATGTTTTCAAATCATATTTTTGTTTTAGTAAAGCCTGATTTTATGGAAACTCATAACAAGGAGAATGTCCAACTACATGAGCATTTAAAAAGTATTTTTGTTACGTCTAATGATCCCCAGGTATATTATATTTAAAGCAATTGTTTATAAATATATGTTATTTAATGATTTAAAATGTACTTGTGATAATTAAAATAAACTTTGTTCCATTTATTTTTAGATAGACCAAAAAGTTGGTACGATAATTTCAAGTGAAGAATCTACTAAAAATAAATGTACCTTTAAAGAAGTGATAAATTTTTTAAATATGTACCAAAATAATCCAGTAGAAAGCACTATAGATGAAATATCTCAAAAGTACGAATTAGATAAAGAAGTAGTAGGTAAGTGCTTGCAGACAAAATGGTATTACAATATTAAGATAGATTTACATTTATTGAATGAACACTTATTACATATATTTATATATATTTTACACTTATTTGTTTATTTAAATTTAGAAATATATACAATTGTAATATATCACGTTCATTAATATAATATTAATTTGTTTCAGAAAATATTGTAAAACATTTTGGAATACTTAATAGTGCAAATCTGGCTGATTTGCAGTTGAAGTCAGATGCAGATGCCAGAATAGAATAAAGTAGACAATGTAATTAAAAGATATAAGTATGTAAATTATGCATGTTCACAATAATAATTTATTAAAAAAATTGCTTGTCTTAATTAATCTTACTTTTTAAAGTATTACTGAAGAAACAATGGAAACATTAATACACATTTTTTGGCAATCAAAAGTCATTAAAAGGTTATTTTTCTTAGTACATTTATTTTTGAGAGCAGAAGAAACTTATTTTTGAAAATTCCTTGTTCAGCAATAAGTAAAATACAATGCATGCTAATATCCCTATTTTTGATACATACAATAAATTACGTATATTTACAAAATACAATCGTATAAACATTGTTACGCATGTATTTACTGTATGCAATTCAATTTTCTTTTCTACATTTCATTATGCATACTAGGGTAATTCTTTAAACTAGCAGTAACGTAAAAAAACTTTAATATATATCAATATAGCACGAGTTTGAATATAATTTACGAAAGGAAAGTCGTTTTCTGTGTAAATCATTTTTAAATCGTTCTATTAATTGCTCGCTAGTTTTTTACAAATTGAAATATCCTTTCTGATCTTGATTAACTCCACGCATATGGAAGATCTAAAATACAAGAAATGATGAATTGTAAAAAGAAGGATAAATTTGTTTTTTATCCTGCAAAGAACTTCCTATTCTGCGTACACTTACTGGATAGAGTGTGATATATGAAAAGAACGTATACTAATACGTGGAACTGTTTGAATGTAGAAGGTGTCGCATGAGAACGACCAAAAAACAGTCCTTCGTCGACTGGACTCAATTCTGGAATGGTTGCAGTTTTCTTCAACATCCAATCAAAAGCATCCATCTTTAATCTCTTTTTTAATTCTGGACCCACTTCGTCTCTAATTCGACGATTATAATTATTCAGCCATCGTATCTGTAGAATCGTTAAATCATGTTGCTAAATAAATTGCGATTATAAAGTTATAATCCGTGTTTTCCATGTTCCTCATTTTTTCATTTTTTTTTAATATGCAAAATACGCTCGCAAAAATGCACGAAATGTTAATTAACTAAACACACTCACATGAGACGCTGTTAACATATTAATCTCGATCAATTTTGGTTCGTACGGTACAAGCGTGACGTCCCTGAATTTCAAAAAGGTTTCTAAATTTTTCTAGAAAAAAAAAAGAGACAATAATTTTACGAAGAATTTCTTCAATTTTCGAACGATTTTGATCGAGTTACGTACTGATGTGCCTGCTTCCACGATTTCAAGTATATTCTCCAAACGCACACCAAAATCGCCCTCCTTGTAATATCCTGGCTCGTTCGACAAGAAAAATCCTGGTTTCAATTCCACAAGTCCGCACATTTTATCCGACGATGCGGTTTGCATGTACGACACGCTAATAGGCGCTGAGAACATACATTTCACGATTAATTATGAATCTCTCAAGAGCTGGAAAAATTCTACGAGAAATCGTCTAAATGTACAAAGTTCTCAGCTCAATGATTCTCTTTGTCTGTCATGGTCATAAAATTTATCATGTCCATTAGTATCCTTCAAACATCTTCCTTCAATATAAGTAGCCATAATTCTGATCAGAGGACCGTAACGTCACAAGATTGCCCTAATTATGCAATCGATCTTTTATTTTCTCGAAAATAAAATGAGACAAACATTCGTGGACAGACAAGAAGTGACCGATCCCGTGGCCAGTTCCGTGCAAATAGTCGTAACCAATGTTCCACAATGGTGCTCTAGCGACAATGTCCAGCTGATTCGATCTCAGACTGTTCGGGAAAATTAACGAGGACAGCTGTATTGCCCCAATTAACACCCTCGTGTACGCTTTCTTCTGCTCTTCCGTTGGTGTGCCAAAATGCAACGTTCTTGTAACGTCAGTCGTTCCATCTGTTATAAAATGAAATATGAAACTGTTAAAACAGAGAAGAATTGGTATTTAAAATCTCGGGCGGTTTCAATGTCCCCCTTCTAACGTGAATTTGAAAAATTTCCATATATAACACTTCATCAAAAATTTCAACAACATTTTTACTTCTTTTTTTTTTAAATTACTCCTCATTCATTGTTAAATTTAATTTCTCATTTTTTTCATTTTTCCACGAGTAATCAAGTTACTGTAACAGAGTAGTGTCTACAATATTTCATCCTATCTGGAGAAATTCTGTTACCTAGATATTGCCCTCCAGAATCCACGACTAACGTGGACGTTTTTCCGATTTTAATATTAGTCAGATTGTTGGGTTCATAATGGGGGATAGCAGCATGGGATGCGTATCCGGCGATGGTAGGGAACGAGATTCCTTTATTCTTATCCTGTTCGTAACGGAACTCGTTCGCCAGCCTTGCTACCTGCATCTCGTCCCAACCCTCTGAATTCAGCTCGTATTGTTCCTCCATGTACGCCAGGAAATCGCACATCGCTACTGCGTCCCTTAGATGGGACCTTCTCATCCCCTCTGCTTCGATCTCGTTCTTTTGTGCACGCAAACTTATCACCGGTGATGGTTTCGCCAGTCGTTTCTCCGGAGGGATCTGTGGGAACATTTCAATTTTCGAAATACACTAAAAAATATTGCAATTTCCTAGCATTAAATTATTAACCCTTTCACCGTAGTAGATTATCATTTTACTTAAAAATTTCTATCGTTAAATTAAGGTGCAAGTGCGCCAAAAAGCGCCAACAGAACAGTGCAAGCAAATTTTCAAGGCGTTTATAGGAAGCAAACAGCAACGAAAGGGTTTAAATTAGGCGTGTCCAACTTGCGGTCCTGCGGGCCTCATACTGCCCTCAAGGGCACGAGGCCCGCAAGATCGTGAACTTGTAACGTTGTTATGTGATTTTTAGCGATATTTTTCACGACTCGATTGCGCTGTAATAAAAAAATATAAAAGAAAATAAAGGAAGTTTTGTTACTTATACACGTTAACTATTTATATCATATATTTCGTATGCGGCCCAAGACGATTCCTCTTCGCTGAATGTGGCCCGGGCAAGCGAAAAAGTTCGACACCCATGGTTTAAATTAAACGCAACGAGAGTTGCGCAGACTGGAAGGGAATTGCTCCCTGATTTCTGATGCCGCGGGCGTCCAGGCGTCCCGAAGCACCGGCTACCACGTCGAGAAGAAAGTGAAACCGTTTACCACCATGTGGATTGGCTAGAGAACGCGTCACGCCATTTTATCCTATTCGTTTGTATTTAACAATAAAGGTGTCGTTTGTGTTTTACTCGACGATGTGCAATAATGAGAAAAGATCGTGTATTGGACAACGGAGAAGCGCTCATGTTTGCTCTACGTCTATGGAGGTGTGTCAGCTCGTCACGTGGGGATCAAGCTAAGCTCAACAAGCTCTATAGGGACAGGCGAACATGTTGAAGAAGGTGCACCTTTGCCTAGGATTATCCGCTCTAACGCGCGTATAGCTGACCCTTCTCGGTATGTGTGGTACAGTGCCAAGAACGAGACGGTATATTTACGAGGATCGATGGAAATGTTGCGGTCTATTTAAGTATGAAAGACTATATAAACGTTTGTAATTTTTAAGGTATAATATGTAATCATTTGTGCGATGATTTATGTACTTTTTCTCTCTCTCATTTATACGTAATGAAATAGAGATGTTTGGTGATAAAGGACATCACTGTAAAGATCATTTAATGCTAAAAATTATTACACGTTTGTCCATCTTTTCTTCGTGTAAACACTTTCACTTCATCGGCTGGTATAAGTGAACAAAATATGACAGATTTGACGTGAAAAGATGATTGGTTTTTTTTTAAATAAAAAAATAAATACGTACAGAGTTGAATATTTCCATGGAAGCACCCGGACTGTAACCGCATCGCGTTGGCAGCCATACTATATTCCATGCCTGGGACATTGTCCTCAGATCGTACCAGATAGACGTATAATTATGCCACCTGTAATAGTTTCAATTGAGAACACCGATTTATCAAACTTCGGTAATTTACAAAACCAACAAACATCGAATAACCGAAGAGAACGTAACATGACTTCTAAAAGTGGATAAAATAAATTCTGTTGCAAGAAGAAAATGGTTGTGTGCGAAAAAATCACGAAACCCAGTTTTTACTTTACCTAATATCTCAGAATAATTATACTATCACATCTATTCGATGAATAAAACCAAAAGAATGAAATGTGTATTCTTTCATTCGTCAAAATTTAATAAACTGTGTTTTCAAAAATTTAAAAGTTTTTTCTACTTACTCCCTTCTCGCGTCTACTTCCTTAATTGCACCTAATTAACACAACACGACGATTCTCAATCGTTTTAACACTTACTTCACGCAGCCAGCGTGCGAGCACAGGTCCATCTTCAGGTGTTCGTCCACCGATCGTGGAATCTTCTGTCGAGGAGCGTACAGATGTATGGATTGGTAAGTAACAACCGCGTATGCTCTTAAGACAGGCGTGTTTGGTAAATCGTAACCACGAATGTTGAACAGCCAAGCGATTTCGTCGAGGGCGGTTAGCACGAGAGCATCAGCCTTAACCACCTCCATCTCGATCCGGATCGACTGGATCTTGTCTTGCCATGCTCTTCCGGAATACTTGTCCAGCAACGGATACGCCGGAAGTGGATTGTAATTCGGTCGACCGACCTGCCAGATCAAGTCCACCAGGTTGTTACGGACAGGGACCAATCTTACGGACGAATTCGCTGGATACGAACGCTGTTGTTAATTCAAAAACCACCCTCGTTTCGGGGAAGGACAAGTTTTATTTCGAATGAAAGATTTCATTCCCTTGCAAGAAGTGTTATTTATACGTGGTTCATTATTGTAAAGTACATTATGTATGTTAAGTCTGGAATTTTTGATTTTATCAGTATTAAATTTAACGTGAACAATGCAAATTGGCTAGAAATATAATTTTTTTATTGTGACTCGTATCATTGTAAGGCAAAAGGGTTAATAGTGAATAGTGATAGATTATAACTCTTGCAAAGTGGCTTTAACAATGATAATAATGGTAATGTGGAGAAAATATAGAACGCAGGAATATATCATCGAAATTGGTTTTGTGCTTATTGTAGTGAGTAAATTAACGATGCTTACTCGAGCATCGTATAAAACGGTATTTATAGTTTGGATTTGTTCAGATGATATATTTATCGAACGCTACAATGATATATACGAATTTAACGTTCGTTTAGATTGATATGTTTAATGTTACAGAATTGCTACAGTGATATGTGAGGTATATGACAAACGGAGTAGGTGTACATATAAATTTAGGTGTTAGTTTGCGTTGACGGTTTTACTGCGTTCAAGACACGTTTCATTACCTAATTCATTCTCCCACGTTTCCCAGTCTATGGCAGATACCAGCGTTGGATCGGCGCCAATATTTACGAGAGCTTGGTTTTGGAATTCGTGTTTCAACCATTCTGTTACAGTAGGCACCTGTATGTTGATAAATATTAGTGATAACTGCTGATGAAAAAGAAGTTAAAAAAAATCTATTCTGATCGAACACAGATTGTGTGTGATCAGAGGATGTGTATAAGAAAGTTTTCATAAAATTGTGAATGGCGATTAAACTACGTACAGTAGTACTAAACTACTACACTTTTTTTATAAATTATAGTTCGTATTCTTCTAACATATTCCTCAGTCTGGGGTTAACAACAATCGACAATTTTTAATAAAAAATTACGATGAATAAAAATTCATGAAGAAAGATTATGTATTCCAACGTTTTTCTAGAAACTTTTACGTTTAAAATATTTATATATAAAAAAAAAGCCACTCAGAAAGCTCCACTTCCCGACCCCCTCGTACTTAGTACAAAGGGTGAACGATCATCGATGACTGAGAACTTGAAACAAAAGTCAATTTCTCGAGTCTTCCTCACGCTCGGGGAAGGAAGCTATACCTCCTCATCGTGGTTGCTCCCACTCTTACTTAGGTAAGAGGGAAAGTAAGACACACTACAGAAATGATCCTGTGAAGTATGATCTTAAATATTACCTGTTTCTGCAGCTTTTATATGATACTCATAGAATAGTTTCGACAGCGAGAGTACTCTTAACGCTTTGTACACCTAGCGGCAGAATTGGAAACTAATCGAGAGCTTCTAAATTAATATACATATGTAGGTACACGTGCGTATTTCCTAACAATGATTCATTGTTATTTAATATGAAGTATGATAATATTGATCCACTTAAATTATCATCATAATTATTATATATCATTAAATGTACTTAATATCCAATTCAATAAATGGAAGTCATTAATATTTATTTTATAAATTTACGTTCAAACGTTTTTTACATTATTTTTGTGCTACATGTGCGTTCTTTTGCAACAAGTGTTTCAGTCAACTTTGATATTTCATCCTAAAGTTTCTGAGAACTGATTCATCTTGCACTTACTTCTCCTCTACCGTGTTTCATGAGTATCCAATTGCAATCAAGCTGATGATCTGCCTGAATATGATACCTTCCATCGGTCCAGAACACTGCTTTGGACATAGTGATGACAGCTTCTCCAGCAGTACCGTAGAATCCCGTGATGTATTCTCTCCTCATGTCACGGGGATCCGATAAATCGCTCTAACGAAGACAGATCGCAATTTAATAGGGCATCTGTAAATCTCAATATCTATCGTCAATTCATTTCTCGCTATTTGGAGTTTAGCATTGATCACTAACATTATCCGTAATTAGAAAGCAACGAGATGAAATTAGAGTAAGCTTTAGAAATTTCGGGCCATTTCACATATACATAACAAAATCAATATCAAACAAACTTTCATCTATTTAGCTGTGTTTGTTAAATCAGCAAAATCAACGAAACGCAAATCTCACGCGAATATAGTATACCTCCAAAGAGACATCGCGGCTATGATAAACCAACTTCACTGTCTGAAAATTTAATGATTCGAAACAGAATGGTATTATAAATTAAACATTTCATATTAACAACTTCGTCAATTAAAGTTCGATTTTTAAGAATGATATATCTCGAAAATTTTTCAGATTAAAATTCATCAAAGAGTATTTTTATCTTGAATACTTTAGTATTGTAATTACCTGATGCGCGTCATCGGAAGTGACGATGTATCCATTGAGAGGCGGTCCTTGCACTGAAGCCACCCGACTCATTTCCGATCTTAATTGTTTCAATCTTACCGACGTGTCTTGCCTATCGGCTGGTTGTTTGTGAGACGTAGCTGGACAGTACGATCTTTTTGCCCCATTGTAATTAAGGAGTGGTTCGACGACATCGCTTTGTAAATAGTACGCATTTGTTAAGCCTGTGTAAACAATAGAAATTTCTATTGAAACAAATCAATCGTTTGAAATAATAATTTTTTAATGGAACTTTCTTCTATTATTCTTATGTTAATAATCTTTGTCATTTAGAGTGTGCAAAATACAGTTTTTATGAATAAAAAGAATAAAACAAATAAACTGGAGGCGCCGGGCATCGATCCCGGTACCTCTCGCATGCTAAGCGAGCGCTCTACCATCTGAGCTACGCCCCCGTTGCTAAGTCTTTTTAAAAACAATCATAAATAGTACTCTACGAATTTTTAAGTTGTACATATACATATTGTAATTTTTAAAAATATCCTCATTGATCATATAATTACATTTACAAATGTCTCTACTTCAAAAGAATTGAACGATTAATATTTTAAATATTAAAAAAAACATAAAAGAAATATATATTAAAAAATAGTTCATT